AGACTCACCACATATATCAATATCTTCATTATCTTCTATACCATGAGACGCGGACTCATGCTCGTTGAATGAGAAAGATACATCCCTATAATCAACGTCTTCATGTGGAATTGAAACAGGGTTATTTGTATGTTTTTTGGTCCTAATATAGAACTCTGCTTCAGATGAAGATTGACAATTATTAGTTAATGTGTCACCATTTGAATTTATAGACTTCATTTGTTTGATATCATCTTTCTTCCTTCTCGTAGAGCCTACACATGATGTTGGCATCAATAAAAGATTAAGTTAGTTGAAAGAGAAGTCATCATTGAATTCTATGTAAATGGATGAACATGATATGTAGAACCAAACTTGGAGGTTTCTGCTTCACAACAGAAATGGTTTTGAATCTATCACTGGGACTCTACTCATATAATTCTCAAAGGCTTTGTACCTCGCACTTTTACACTTAAACACATTTTCATCACCATAATTATTAATATTCTTGCATCTTTGCGTGCTTGAAGACTTTTCTGGTTTCACTTGTAGAAGGAATTAGTACTAGTTTCCCTTATTACATATCACATTCATCTAAATACAATGGTAAAAAATGAATAGAAAACAAATACGTCCTTATGTAACACTTGAACTTGTTGATTCCATCTGACAAGTTTATTTCAACATAAAAAACCCAATATACATACCCATGGAGGGAGTGCTGGAAAATCTATCACACAAGTTTGATGAGACATTTATGATGTCTTTCAGAGCAGAGTGTCTTTTGTGTTGTCCATGAACGGAAACTGCATTCTCAAGAGTCCTGACTACTGAGGGTTGTGTATGGTCTTCATCCATAGTTTTTCCCACTGGATTCAAAAAATATAACTCGGTTAAGAAATGACTCTCTGTTCCTGCTGCATATGTAAGAATGAAAAAATGGTTAAATTTCACGGTAGGAAGCGTTAGAAGGAATGAAAAAACACTATGTATTTTTCCAACCTTTCATGATCCTTATTGCTGGACTGGTTACATTCATTCCATTTGAATCAAAACCTTCCATTGACACCGCGCAAATATGATCAAACACAAACACTTTTAGGTTTTTTTGGCCTCCATTTATTTTCGACTTTAACTGACATTACTTAAAAAAGTAATGTGATGCATCTTTAGTTCTTCTGTCTCCTTACGGTCTAAGTTCATGAACTAGGACTACATATTTTAGAAATGACAAAAATATAGGAAAAGTATAGACGTGGTAGGAAGAGTTAATAGACTTGGAAAAAAAAAAAACTCTATATGTACTTTTCCTGCCTTTTGTAGTCCTCATAGTTGGACAGGTTATATTCATTCCTTTTTAGTCAAAACCTTCCATTGAAGCCTCACAAATATGTTGAAACACAAACACTTTTAGGCTTTCTTGGCCACCATTTATTATCCACTTTAACTGACATCACTTAAAAAAGTAATGTGATGCACCTTTGATTCTTTTGTCTCCTTACGGTGTAAGTTCATAAAAAGGACATCTTTCTCTACTCACAACTCATATGAGTATCTTTTGTGTAATATCCTAAAAAAAAAAAATTGAAAAAAAAAATTGAAAAATAAAAATAATATAAAATAATATAATATAATAATATTTTATTATATAAAAAAAATAATAATAATAACAAAAGTCCAACTTTCCACCGATTTTCGGTGGAAAGTTGGAGAGGGCGTGGAATTTGGGGGAGGGGGCGTGGAAACGTGGGGTGTGGGTTTGACAAAAACCCCTCCCCCAATAATTGTGTGGGGGTGTTAAATACCCCCCCACAACCCATTTCCCCTCCACGGCAGGTGCAAGAAGGAGCAAGAGAGAGGGAGAGAGAGAGAGGAAGTGTGTGTGAGCGAGAGAATCATACCAGTGAAGCAGAGGGCAAGCTTTGAAGATATTTTAGGTACATAAAATTATCTCTTTTCATCAAACTTCCTTTATAAATATTTCATGTATATTTTAAGCTTCCTATTTACGTTATTACTATCATGATTGGAGAAAATTTTGAGACTTATATATGATATAAGTATTGAGTTTTGACAAAAGATGACTATAGAAATTTAGAAGTAAATAAGTTGTTAATTTTATCGGTTTAGATTTCTCTATTTGCTAGTTTTAGTATTTAAAATTAATTTATTTAGTGGAAAATCTGTTATGTATGAGATATACCATATTTTTACCGATTAAATTTTAGTTAAATAATTTATTTGGATTGTTTGATATATTATTGAGGTTTTAATCGGTTTAGTTTTATTTATTGGGTGACTGGAGGTTAAATAATTATTGTAGCTAAAAAGTTTATTATTTATGAATATATATATATATATATATATATGTATATGGTAGTTATACCATTAAAGTTTTGATTAGATTATTTATTTATAAATATTTGAAGTATTATTGAATTTTTGATAGTTTGATTTTGAAGTTTAAACTTAAATGAGGATTTTTAGAGTTTATAATATAATAATTTTATATTTGGAAATTGTTGAAAATCCTTTTTATTAAGGTAAATAATTTGGAGGTGGTAAATAAATAATTTGGGGTTGTTAGAAATTTTAAGTTGTTGCTAAAATACTTAATAATTTTTGGGTTATGAGAGTTGCGGGAATTTAGAGTAAAAATTTAAATAATATAGAGAAGTTTAATTAATTAATTAATTAGTTTATATTAATATGTGGTTATATTAATTGTGTAGATTAATTATTGGTTGAGCAAAGGATTGACCTTGTGGTAATCCTTAGTATTGCTTTGGCGAGAGGTAACCACTTTCCACTTGTTATATGTGCTGATATGTTGTTTGTGAGTATTTTGCTATTTTTAGAATAATATTTGATATTTGGAACTTGAGTAGATATGTTATATCTTTTGAGCTATGAAAATTGTCTTGTGGGATTTTTGGAATTGTGATTGAGAAGTTTGGAAAAGATATATGATTTATATCTTATGGATTATACTGAGAAAAGATTGAGGCATTTTTATTATATTGTGAATGATTGGTTGTTATTTGGATTTTGGAATTGAGTCCTATCCTACCACGTGGTAAGGCCGCCATTGGTGCACATTGGTTGGCTTCTTCTTTCGTCCCCCATAGTGAGGGATAGGCCTTGTGGCTTCTTATTCGTCCCCCAAAGTGAGGGATAGGCCCATATGTTTGATTAATCCCCCAGAGTGAGGGATAGACTTATGTGGCTTGTGTGTTGGCCCCCATAGTGAGGGTTTGGATGATTGAAATTTTATATCTATAGTTCTCGAGAATTAATAACTGTCCCACTTGACACCTCACGAGCACGTGTTAGTATGTATGATGAGTTGGAGAGTTGGTTACTGAGGCGTTTGTCTCACCCCGTGGTTTAACATTTTCAGGCGATAGTTCAGGTGGTGGCCCATCAGGGAAGGCTCCGGAGGCATAGTGTGCTGATTAGCTTGTATAGCCTCCCTACTTTTGTTCTATGTGCTGACTTGTTATATATTGCCACATAGGGCTCATCTACTATCATGATGTAAAATAATACTTTTAATTACTACTATCTGGTATGATAGGGCCGTGAGGAGGTCCGAGACATTTTAGACTTTGCGTATTACACTGATTTGATAGTGTTGATTTTTCACTAATGGGCTCTATGACTTATATTAAAATGTTTTATCAGTTCGTGTGTTTGAAAGTGTAAGTTTGGTTTGGGCTAACGGTTGAATGATATTTCTGGACTTTGAAAGTCCAAGGCCCAAGTGAACGATTGATGTGGCTCGTAATATAAGTTTATTTCTTTTAACCATGATAGCGATTTTAAAATTTTAAGGTTTCTTCTTTTCTATCATGGTTAATCATTCAAATAAATTGTTGGATTTAATCTAAAATTGTTTTGAAAGAGCGGTTGTCACATTTTGCAGGCATATATAGTTAACCAATATGTTATATTTGATGGTGACTGTTCATAGAATATTTGATGCTATGAATTTTTGCCCACCCACTGCTGTCCTTCTCATTTAAGGGATTATGCTATATTAAAGTGCAATAATAAAAATCAAGGATTTATATATCACCCCATCTAAGATACTTTGGTAAAGAATACTACTAACCCAGTACATAAGCTTTTTTTTTGTTTTTTAAACCAAGAATAGCTAAGTGTATAGTGGGTCCATCGAAAACTTTTTGGATATCATATTTTGTTAATATACTGACTAGAAAAGTTTATGATTATGACTTCATATTATAATGATAGTAATGTTTAGCTGGGGCTACCGGTGTCTTGAATGTGGCTATGAGGTTCGTCCTAAGTGTGTATGAGCTCCTTCATCTTGATCGCCGTGGGTTGGTGAGATCCAAATATTCTAAACTAATCAAATCTAACCTTTTATGTGGATTGGCCTTCTTCCCATTATTAGACTCCTGACTATTCTGTTTGCATCTTTGATATATGTAGGTTGGGTTTCTGGCTACTTTTAACTTGCTGCTTTTGTATGACGGAGCATGGCCATAAACGGACCTATGAGTTGTGATGTGATTAGCTAGTGGCCTAATCAAGTTAAAGTGTGAATTAATTGCACAATGATTGTCCTTCAATGCACTGAGCTATCTGAGTAGAATTTGCATTTTCTAAAGTGATTTTAAATAAATTGAGAAAAAGGGGCAATTGTAAAAAGAATGATTGTGGACTTTGTTTCTGATAAGCTAATTTCTTTATTTCAAGAGAATCACATATGGATTTTGTATTTAAAAATAGGTGGACTATGTCTTGATCATAGATAGCACACTACAAAAAGGAATTAGAGAAAGATTAAATAACATTGATCATAAATAGCACCATACAATGACAAAGAAGTTCTCACTTCTGGTACACTGAATTGGGACCAATATTAATTACCAGTGGCCTACTTAAACATAACTTTAAAACAAAAACTTAGAAACATGCATAGTACAAATACTTGGGACATCACACATTAGCTAAACTAACACATATAAGTAGAGCCCATATCAGCAAACAGTCTACTTCTTCTCTTGCTTTACTTTCACAATCCTCTGATCAGTGTTAGAAGAAGAGGGATCATTGGTGTTGACAGAACGATCATTGGCAGTTGGGGTCCTCTTTTGAGCAGTCTTCCTTTTTCCTTTGTTTGATGAAGCAGATACTTCCTTAGATATATCTGCTAATGTCACATTATCTTGATTTTTTTGTGCATTTGCATGGTTCGTTAAGCTCTCTGTATTTGTACTACTATCAAATGCTGGACTACCCTCATCAATATCCTCTATGTTAGACTGCATAAACATGACATCCAATAATTAAAAAAAAAACTACTAAAACTACTAAACTACTAATAAATACACGATATTAATAATACTATTGTTTGGAAAAAAATATTATTTTAACTTTTTTAAACCTGTGGGACTTGTTCAGGAAGATCTTCATTCTGCATGATTCATAACAAATTGATTCATTACACTGAGCAGTGAAAATATCTTTTACGTAAAGGTTAACATCAATCAGGCTTATCAATTTGTCTTATATCAGTCTCAGCTTGGGTGAACTGTGGCAAAAGATCCTCACAAATAGTGTATGGACAACGCTTATCTTGAGTGGGGGTGCCTCTTATTATAATCATTCAATTTCAGCTTGAGAATCATCTTCCTTCTAACTACCTCATCAAGGTCATAAGGGAAATCATACTCACGATCCTCCTGAGAAGCAATTTAAATAATTAGGTTGACATAACATAAGGAAAAGCCCATATACTATTATTGTGCATAAAAATTCAGATATATGACAAACCATGAAAATTTTGCCTACAGCAAACCTGCTTAAGTATAACTTTCATCTCAAATGCATTCTTCTGAAAAAGTTGGACAGCAAGCTTATCCCAGAATATCACAGATGTTTTCCCAGTATCCTCTCCAACAACATAATGGACTTTCAACCTGAGCATATTCCCTGGCCATATTAGTATATTTAACTGATGAAGTGATGGTCAATAATTTGTAATAATTTCATTTTAATTGCTTGCTTTAGCTCAACTGCTATCGGCTTCTTCTTGCAGTTTGAACAGTATGCAGATCCATTCTCTTCCTTTGGTTTTGTACGACATTTTGTGCAACCATCGTATGTCCATCCATAATGTGTTTCAAGCTTTAGAACTCTGCAATTGACAATAAAAGGTTCATCCTTAAAAAAAAAATTGCATGGGTTACGTGTTCAAACTTTAACCCTTCACATGTTTGCATATCAGGATACATGACCAACCCCTGCATTAAGCTCAATCTGTACTATGTCCATCCTCTTGTTATTCTGGACCATACATGCAACCAAAGGTTGGGAAGATTGAGAAGGAATTTGTTGAGACAGCATCGAGATGCTGGGGGATAACTTGTCCTTTGCACTATATAAACCAAAATGATTAAACGTTAACCAATATATCTCCATGTGAAGTCAAATAGTAAAACTATATTCAGTGAAAGTTTCATACCTTTTTATGAGCTCCTTAACCACTGGCAGCATAGGGTTAAAGAAAACCCTTGTAGAATGAGCTACAAATTTGAGGTCGTCCTAAAACATTATTTAATTCATCATAAATATCAATACAAATTCATGTACTTATACTACAAATGCCTTCATATTATAAATTTGATATGAAATAACAGTGAGCCATTTTATTTGATCATTGATCTACATACCATCTTCAAAGAAACCAATTCTATCAAGATTAATAACCACTAAAACAGGTGTCTCCATATTCTTCAAATAAGCAGTGTCAGTATTTGTTGAACAATCATCAAATAGAATACATTCCACGTCAGTATCACTGTCAACAATTAATAAAGAAGTCGAATAATATTAATAATTTGAGTAAAATACTATAACCTCCCTTGTATTTTGTCTTGATTACACAGACCTCCCTTCTATTTTGAAAACATACAGTTAAAAACTGTTAACTCTGTTAAGAATATTTCAAAAAGATGTTTTTTAAATTCAAATTTATATTGAAATACTTTTTATTTGCTAAATGACCCTTCATAATACTAAATCTCAAAATTTTGGTTAAAATTACTTTAAGATTTTTTCTTTTACCTTAATTTTATTTATTTTATTTTTGAAAATTGTTGCTTGTTTAATGTTTTTATTGTATTAGGCTAAAAATTAAGTAATTTAGTTAATGCAAACATAAATTTAAATGATTTATATAAGTTTTCAAAATGGCATAATTTATATTATGATGAAAAAATATGCATTCAAAATATTTTCTAGCCATTTAAAAAAAATCTTAATTTTCAATATTTCATGAGGAACTAAAATTAGATAATTCTATAATATAATTGAAATTAAAAATTTTATAACATATTAAAAATTTTGAAAACACATGCATTATAATTATTTTTTGTTGTATCAAAAATTATTTTTTTAAAGATATAAATATTTATATAACATTTATGTTAAAGAGGGATATTTTGGTCAAAATAAAAATTTAAAAGTCAAATTTAACGGTCAACTAACAGTTGGATGGATGGAAATTGAATCTTAAAAATATAAGGAAGGTCTGTGTAACATACATTTTAATTTGAAGGGAAGTTTATATATATTTTCAAAATAAAGGGAGATTTTTGTAATTTAAGTAAAATAGAGGGGTAGTCAATATTTTACTCTAAATTTTATCTAATATTTGACACAATTCTGGAAATAAGTCAATTACTCTTGATCAATCAAGACCATGCGCAGCTTGTGCTTGGTCTCATTGTCCTTCCTATATTCTTCAAGAGAACCAATAGAGTGGACAAAAGCAACAACATCTGATAACCAAAAAAAAAAAAAAAGAAATACAAAACTGTTGATTATGAATATATTGATTATGAATATAAAGATAATATAAAATATAAATATGAAATATAAATAGATATAGATATAGATATATATAAAATGACATGGGCAAGCTGGAAGCTAGAACCTAAGACATGGAATCATGCATAACATACCAAGTAAATAATCTATGTGATTGGTTTTGGTACACTTTGGGATTTCAGGAATAGGGAAAAAAAAGTATGCCACATGAGGTATATTGCAATTCTCTTCTCTGATGTAAGTTTGTTGGGTGAATGTTATCTTGAAAGGGCTATTTGTAGCCCTGTATTGATTAACATTATGTGACACAAAATTAGCAAAGAAGTATATCCTCCCTTCCACTGGAGAATCTCCGAAATGAGGTAGTAAATTCTTTGCCACAATACTTGCTTGGATCTTACCACCTTGTAAAATGAATGAATGGAGTTAATATTTGAGTAGTGTATAACACTAAGTAAATAAAAGAAATTCATATAAGAAAGAATATACTGTTCGACCTTCTGAAATTTGTATAGGCAGAATTGATTATTAAATAAATGGGATACTATGTCACTCACCACTTCATCAACCAAAATCATTGTAATGCAGAACAGCTCATTAGGAGAAGTTTTCTGATAAACACCCCACCTCCTAAAAACCTTTAGACGGATGGAACACCTATCAGTGTCTTCATTGAGATCTTTCAAAAGACAAAGTCTTACCATTGTTAATTGGCGGACTATTCAAACTGGAATTGTAGTAAGAACCAGAATTGGAATTCAAACTAGATATAGGTGATGAAATAAGAGGAGCTATACGTCTTATATAGAGATCAGGTAAATTTTGAATCAGTACTGCTAACTCTTCTTCCGTCCTAATTGACTTTGAAATTGAAATGAAATCAATATTTGAAATCATGAATTTTTGTCTAACGAATTCATGGGTTCCCACCAATTGGCCAAAATTCAAATTCAAGTAGTTTTTCTTGGGAAATTCATCCTTTTGTCAAGTCAAATATTAGGCTGGATAAAGATTCGTTTATGCTGAACACATATGCTTTGTCTGCATGGCATGTGAAGTACACTTGTATTAAAAAAAATCACATACTATTCCATCTAAGAGGATGCGAGGCTAATGAAAAATATTGATGGCAAAGCTAAAGGACATATACATAAGCACTGCAAAAAAGATGAGAAGGTTTGCATTGATCGCAAACCTATATGAAAATGACTCTTACATGCTAACTATGAAACTTAAGATTGAGAAGAATGCATTCACTCTAAACCTTTGGATGAGAAGTTTTTGCCTAGAACTCTAGATGAAATTCTAACTTTTAATCTCTTAACACCAACACCTTACTATTCACATAATGAATCCATTCTAATGATCTTAAAATACAACTGTGAAATAAGGGTTGATCAATAATCAATAATGAATAATCACTTTATAAAGAGATTAAAAGTAATAGTTATTTAGATGTGGACATGCAGAGGAAATGAACAGATAAAGAATTCCAACGTCAGTTATATAATATGGCAACTAAAGACACCCACATTAGCAGTTCATTTTCACTTACAGATGGAAGCTGAGGTTCATGATCATATTCATTGTCAGTTCAAGGCATCATTAAGCAGAACTTATCTAATCATCATATATACTTATGCACATAATTTAATAAAACTCAACTAAGCAATTAACATACTTTATACTTGAAGTGAAAAAAGTGGCACTCTGCACAATGCGCACAAATGTGCAAGGGTGAAATCTCAATATTGACAACTCACTGATAAGGTAAAGCAGTAATTTTTTAAATATTAACTTACTGTTAGAGAAAATAGGACAATTTCAAATGTCTCTGCTAGCTATTACAACAACATTTACTCAATAAAGAAAACTTACCTTAAAAATGATAGTCTACACAGCAATAAATTACACAGAGTGGAGATGCAACTGTATTATGAAACCTAAAGATAGATAAGACAAAAATTTTAAGGCTTATAAATCAATTTTTGACCTGTACAAGGCAAAAAGCATAAGTCGTCCTAAGAATATTGGACAAGACATATCGTTGCCAATATACATGTTTTCGATGCTTGACGATATCACATGTTCACCTGACTTTATTACACGGTTCTCAAAGTTTTTTTATTCAGATGAAAGTTGTAAAAAGTGCCTAACATTACATTATCTACCTAACCTCTATCACTATATACCCAGAAACATAAAACCTTCTACTGACAGTGAATAGCTCCATCAAAAAACAGAACATGTCATTAATTGCTTCAGTCAACAGGAACAATGTTGTTCATTACTCATAGGTCAAAAAAAGGTTATGTTTACTTTTTATCACTGGTTATTCAAAATGCCTAACATTACGTTATCTACCTAACATCATTTTAAACCTAGAAACATAAAACCTTGTACTGATAGTGAATAACTCCATCTCTGGACAGAACATGTCATTAATTGTTTCAGTCAACAGGAACCGCATTGTTCATTACTTACAGGTCACCAAAAGGTTACAAAACATTTTTATCTCTGTTTATTCAAAATGCCTAACATTTTGGTATCTACCTAACATCACTTTAAACCCAGAAACATAAAACCTTGTATTGATAGTGAATAACTCCATCCAAAAACAGAATGTGTCATCCATTATTTTAGTCAACAGGAACCCCATTGTTCACTGCTTACAGCTCACCAAAAGGTTATAAATTTTTTTATCTCTATTATTTCAAAGGCTTTATCAATAGAAGAAGTTAAACACACTACTTATTCAAAACCAACTCTATAAAAAACTTGTCACCACTTAATCGGATGCAGTCATACTCAACTTCCTACATTGCAAAAACAAACCAACAAGAGATTACAAGCATGACCTCAGTTGAAAACTTCATGGAGGCGGCATTCTTCAACCTTCTTAGGGGTTGCAGATGCAATGGTGTCACCTTTCTTCACATTTGTTGTGGCCATCTCAATGTATCTGCTTCATTTGACATGAAGTTGCATGCAATAGAAGGCTTCTGTTCAAAGTGTGGAGGAATCCCCGTCGAATCACCTAGATGGTATGAACCTCTGTATTTACTTCTTAGATGCATCTATGGAGTTATCAGGAATGAGGGCTTGTACTGCCATGACTTTGAACTTGCGAAGCCATACCAAATGAGAGACCATGGCTTTTACATCAGAATGTTATGGTACCATACCGAGCACCTTAGAGTTAGAATATATGCCATGGAGAATAGGAGAACCATTAAAAATATTTGACTTGTTCTCTAAAACATTTATGAATAGTGCACATATCCATAAAAGGCGAGACAAGGATCTGTGGCAACGTTTTACAGAAGGATAACCTATACTACTGATGCAACATTACAGGAGCCAAGAGCATCATTAAATGGCCTGCCGTGATATCTTCCCAATATTGAGCAAAGTTCACAACTTACATTACCTCCATCATCAAGCATCGGTCCAGAGTTAGGCTTCGTCCACAGTGATGACGACAAATAGGATGTTGAATACCATTTCATTATCTACTTTAAGTTTTTTGCAATCTCTATTAAATTCTACACCATGTACCTTTCACTGTGGATAAAGACATCCTTCATTGTGTATTTTTCACTCTGTACTCTTTTTTTTTTTGGTCAGTCTGGAATGCGTACTTTTATTAGTAAAAGGTCTTACCTATTCAACATTGTTGGATTTCATTTGCGCATTCGACAGTATGAATTAAACTGAAATACAAGCTGAATTTACATACAGCCTTGGACACAAATACCATTAGTTTATCATAGTCTTAACAGATACACACATAAGCAACACAACCGCCTAAAGCTACGACTCCAATAAGTTGTGGATCAGGAATGATTCTTGAAAATAAGGACACAGCAGTTATAGAGTCATATAGAAAACATGGTCACATAAATGTTGTCAACACACTACGCTGAAAGGCTACTGGCTAGCACAATAATCCTAGCTCCCTACACATGTTGGAAATCTGGCTTTACTTATAACCTTAAGTAGTGGATCAAAATGATCCTTGAAAATATTTAATGAACAAAATGTGTTTAAATTAGAAATCAAGAATTTTTTAACCAAATAATATTATGTAATTAATTGGATGATATACGCTACATAATTTATGTAAATATAAAATAAAAATAATATTAAAGTGCAGTAAAATTTTTATTAAAATTATTTTTTATTTAAAATAGCATTAAAAATAAATAACTAAAAATGGGTTGAAAAACACGATAAATATGTAGAGAGAAGTACGAGGAGAACATAATATAGGAATAAAAATGTTTTTTGATTTTGAAAAGCAACTTTCGCATAAATAAGACGAGGTATATACCATAAAAATTAGCTTCTGACTTGAATGATTCTTTTAGACAAAATGACTTGTTGATAAATTAACACAACCCGACTCTTACTCCCTAAAAGCTATTTTTACTGCCGCTTAACCAAATAGACTAGTCAGTTTATGCATTGGAATGGGTGAAAACCATTAGTTATTGGCAAGATCAAGAATTCGTGCTTATCTTGGTTTCTCTTCTCTCTCATTGTTTTTCACCGACCATCGCTCATGGGACATTCTTACTTTCTTTCGTTTCACTGGGTCATGGGTGAATCACA